GTGTAGGAGTGAGTAATTACTATCAAATTAAACCGAAAGATAATCTCCTCTCGGCCCAGTTTAGTTTTCGTTCAGATAAGGAAAGGAACAATGATATATATGTCATTAAACAGCTCCAAGAAATTGCTTACCTTTCTGATAGGAAACTATACCTGCTTTGTCAACTTCACAGCAACATATGACCACATCAATAAAAACTTGCTTTTTCCAACCATTGGAAACCGTATTCCAAGCTCCGGATCTATTAAATCTAATAGAGGAAGTGTATTGATCTAAAGGATCCCAATAAGGAAACATTTCAAACCTCATTAGGAATACGACAAGGACGAAATTAAGGTTCCAATCTATTTAATATTTTTCTAGGCTATGCCCTGCGAATTTACAAACGCAAACATGATGAGATGGGCACTGATCATTTAAGTATTCTATACCACGCCAAAAAGAATCTACCAATAGAAGACAACAATCATGCTTTACCTACCGAAACCAATGTATTGATGCTGATGACATAGGTGTTTATAGTTGGGATAAGAATGATCTTGAACAGAAAATCAGCATCCTTTAACAAGAGTTCCAAGAAATGGGACTCAAGATAAATCTTTCCAAAAGAGAAACTATGATCTGAAATTGGAATAAAAGCAGTGTTGGTTCCTACCCTAAATCCATCATAAAAATACAGGATGTGGAATTAGTCATTACTAAACACTTCAAATACTTTGGTGTATGGATCAAATTAAGTACAGGAGAAAAGGAAATTGGACACAGAATATGCTGCGCCAGAGATAGTTTCGTACAATACCGCAAATTGTTACAAAACCAAAACATCAATCTGAAAACTTGACTCAAGTTCTTAAATAGACTCGTCAGCTCGAATTTTTCATATGGATGCATGACTCCAAACCCATTCAGAAAGATCTAAATAGTCAGCTGTATACAACTGCTTTCGAAGATCAATGGTTAAAATGATTTTGAGCGAGTGAAGCCTGTGAGTCTTGGTAAACATCATCCTTCTTTGAACATTGTGAACTGGCGCCAAAGAATCACAAACAAAGGATTGTACCAAATAACAGAAACCGTATCTCTTGAGGACTACCATCAGTAGCAACAACAATTAAAATGGATAGCACATGTAACTCGAAAAGAAAATAATGGCATAATCAAGATGTTGACATTCTACACCGCTTCAAATAAAATGTTCGGAAGGAAACCCCCATTAATACTGGAAAGATCGATAAAAGCTACTGATCTTGGGAAACCTGTTTCCCTAAAAAAATGTTTCAAGAGAAATATTTATAACTTTCATCTGAAGACAGTACTGGCTGATCGGTCAATGAATGCCAAATGTTCCTTGTCGAGAAACGGCTATATTATCACTATCATTAGAGATGTGGAGAACAGATACTATACTTTGATCCCAACCCGGTGGCCAGAGAATGAGGAAAAGCGTAACTCAAGTAGCACTGCCTGTCCGGTCAATAGATGCCAAATGTTCCTTGTAAAGAAAAAAAGGCTAATATTGTCATTACAGCCTCAGTCATTCGTAGCTAGGGACCAATAAGAAATGAAATTCCTGATTCCAGACAATCTATTCTCTCTGACTGTACCTCCCCATTGCACTAAAAGAGATGGGACCAGGGCTATTTTATTTTGAAGACACTGAAGCACCAAGTGGATTTACTTGCTCGGTATTCGCTCAAAAGTTGGATAAAATCGATTCTTGGTGTGAAATGGTATTTATGTCCTGAAAAAAAATTCTAATTTATTTTTAACATATATAAAATTGAACTTTTATGCCAAATTTTTAACTGTCATCGAAAAGAAAGCGACATTTTGTTATTCTTATATTCTCGAATAGTAGACTTTTTGTTAAATTCCATTAAATCTTGTGTGTGTGTGTGTGTGTGTGTGTGTGTGTGTGTGTGTGTGTGTGTGTGTGTGTGTGTGTGTGTGTGTGTGTAAAAAGAATGTTCAAAGTTTATTGTTTGTATCAAAATGTTTATTTTTAGGTGTAGTAAAATTTTAAAACAATACAAATATTTTTGGTGCAAGGAAAAAAAAACAAAAAATACAACAAAAACAAGGCAATAGGAAATGGCCGCCAGCGATTAATACATTGAATTAAAGTTAGATTCTCAACACTTTAAAAACTAAATTAGAATTTTATTCCAGGACAAGAAATGCAATTAAAGCCAACAATCAATCTTATCCAAAATTTGGGCGAATACCGAGTGAAATGGGCGAGAAAATCCAACTACACCCGAAAATAAACATTTTGATACAAACAATAAACTTTGAACATTCTTTTTACACACACACACACACACACACACACACACACACACACAAACAAACAAAAAACCAGATTTAATGGAATTTAACAAAAAGTCTACTATTCGAGAATATAAGAATAACAAAATTTCTTTTCGATGACAGTTAAAAATTTGGCATAAAAGTTTAATTTTATATATGTTAAAAATAAATTAGAATTTTTTGTCAGGAGAAAAATAACATTTCACACCAAGAATTGATTTTATCCAAGTTTTGGGTGAATACCGAGCGAGTAAATCCAATGGTCCTTATAGTACAATTGAAACTCTTTTATTAAATTTATATTTACGAACTTCTCTAAACCAAATTGCAAATAAGATACAGCATCAAATATCTCATTAAAGTTGAACTAAATATTATTATTATTATTATTATTATTATTATTATTATCATTATCTATATCTTGATTTTCTGTGTACGGTAAAAATATAAACTACTATTAAATATATTTTATTGACAGTATCACCAATATACCAATAAATGGGCAAATCTTTATAATTAGAATAAAAACATGAAATTTCTTTGATAGTATGCATTATATATTATACAAAAATCATGTTAAATTTGGAATGTTAATGTGGCGGCCATTTCATGCAAAAAAGATGGGGACTTGTTTTAAATCACTGTTGTTCTAACTTCCCACAAAGTTAGGTGTACTCATACAAAGGAAAACGGTAAACAAGACCTTAGAATATTTGTAACGCGATATCTACCACTAAAATAAGTAAACGTTATTTGTTTATAATGAAAGTATGAAACGCTTTTTATATAATTTTTAACTGCCCAGTAATCTTAAAGATTTAGGAAAATATTCTTTATAATTAAGTATTTTATTGAATTTTACGCTCTTTTTGGGGGGCTATAAATTTACTATAGTTATCGCTCTTATTTTTTCAAAAATCGGCACGTTTATACACTGAAAAAAAATCTAAATTCTTTTTAAAATATTGGTTTTTGATTAATTGTACTAAGCTTTTCCATTTATTATTAGTAAATATAATTTTGATTCAATGACAATATCACCTAACCTCTATAAAATAAGACAGAATTTTAAAAGATTTAAAACTGTATGAATTATTAAAATTAAAATTTATTAAAAATAAAAACAGTTCTTGTAAACATTCATTATTTATAAGAAAAAATGATTTTCTTAAAACAATAGTATCCATAATATATTGAAAGGTAATTAAAAGTTTTTCTAATTAAATAATGTCTTAGTTTTATTACATTTTTTTTATTTTACAATTCAGAGCAGATTTTTTGTAACTGTAGGACCTGTTTTACAAAATAAATTGATTTAAATTCTCCAAATTAAATTCTTCAATTAAACATAAGCTCTACAAAATTTAATTTCTCAAAATTTTATAGAATTAAATATGTAAGGGGTAATAATGTAAAAAAAAAATATTTTTTCCGTGATTTTCTAAAAAACCACATTTCTAAAATAGTTTCATAGATTTTGAATAAGTCCTGGAAGTTTCAGTAAAATCCGACAATTATTTGATTTATGCAAGAATTTCTGAATCAATGTTTTTCACCGTAAAAAAAGGCGCTAAACATTCCACAACTAATCTTTGCTCATCGCGCGAACGAAAAGAAAAAAGAGATTTTTAACCAAAATTTCGAAGGTCTAAAAAGGATCAAAAATATAACTTACTTAATAATCTAAAAATCCTTTGGTCTTTCCTCTTCTTAATAATAACATAAAGATTCTGACGATAAAACTTTGTTTTCATCAATATATGCTATTTTTTTAGCGAATCAGTGTTAGTACCTATATGAAAATCTGTGTCTGACGATGTTGTTTAAGATTATACACGATTTTTTAGGTTAATTTTTTTTGGGGGGGTTGTAATTATTGATGCAAATATATTAGTGTTAGAATGAAAGAAAATAAATTTAAATAAAACAATAAGAAGAAAATCTTAGCACCACTCATTATTTGAACATCGATGTAAAACAAAGATGGTTGACTGCTTAGAAAATTCTAGAAACTGAAAAGTAGAACTGAAATTAACCAACCAACAACGACTCGGTCAGACTTTGGATGATGAACAAATGAAAACGGGATAATAAATATATTGTGTTTTAAATAACTAAATTGATTTCTGGTTATCTAGCAAAAATTAAGTGACCTGAGCTAAGGTGTCTGTTTAAACCCATGGCACTTTTCAAGTGACTACGACGCCACAAGCCACTTACGCGGGCTAAACAAACTACCTGCTCTTGACCGAGAAGCAATTCAACTCAGATGTGAAAGGTCAAGTCCAGTGAAGGAAACAATGAAGAGATACTTGACTTCTTGTACCAGTCGCTTTATGATGACAGTGATTGCGTCTCAAGGTTCCGAGGTATTTTTTTTTCTTGTTACAATAAATGAACCAGTTATAAGAATGGAATTGGATTGAGAAAAAGAAATCGAATCCATATTGTTTTGTAATATGGATTCGATTTCTTTTTCCGAATTTTTTTTTTCAATTTTAGAAATTATTTTTTTGAATTTTAAAAATTAAAAAAAAAAAAAAAAAAAAAAAACGAATTTAAAGTTCCCACTTAACATGTTAAAACGACGTTAATTACATTACGTCTCCCTTCTGAAAATTCACGGGTTTTTTGCTCTCTACAAAAAGCTGAGATTAATGCTTGCGTTATACAGAGGTGTTGTGTTGTCTATGGCCAATCTCTTTTATTCTATTCTTGACATTCACCCGTCAGCAAAAAATGAGGTTCGCTCTAAAGGAGAATAAAGAAGAGTTTTTTTTTTTTTTTTTGCTTTACTAATGCTCAACCAGTATAAGTCTCAAGAGCCACTCAAGTTAGGCGGTTACTGAATAATGTGAACGTAAGAGTAGAAAGTAGGAAGTATATATTATGAGAATATAGACGATAGGTAACGACTGACTTTTGATTTGATTTGTTTTGCTGAATAACTATTACCATTTATGATGCCTTATGGCATTTGTGAAATTTGCCATTTCAATACGACAAAATATTCCGGATTCATAAGCAATAAGAGCGTTATTATCAATTGAAATTTAGAAAACCTTTTACTTAAAACGGTTCTTTTTTTTTCAAGAAAACTGTTATAGCTCTTTCTAATATTGATGGGAGTTTCCTTCCGAACCTTTTGTATTTGGTTGTATGGACTGTCACACACACACACACACACACACACACACACACACACACACAGGGTGCGATGGATAAATTGTCGTTTAAATTACGCAAGATGAAATTAACACTAACATTTCATTTTAACCAAAATTACACAAAAATATCTTAAAATACTAAAGAGTAAATTTATTCAATAAAATTGCCTTTTGTTTCAACCACGTCCTCCAGACGACTTCGGGATCTTCTGCAACTCCTCTAGACGGTCTCCTTGTTTAAGTTGGTAAATGCTGCCATAAACTTAGTCTTCAGTTCATCTTTGGCATTACAAGTAGTTTTATTGGTCTCTCGCTCAGCTGCACCACACACATAATAATAAAGACGTAGGGTCTTTCGGCAGTCACCATCTTGACTAGGGTAGCGCTACCTTCTCAAGGTCTAAATGTTGAAATTTAGAATTTCTTTTCTTATCAGAATGATCAAAGTGAGTTTTCCGAGCTGCCGTGCCTTCGTAATCACAATTAGACTCATTCAACTCTTTCCGAATCCTCTGCACTATCCTCAGTTTGATACCCAAACACTCTGAAATGCCAAGGAGTACAGCATACCGTTTCCAAATTTCTGGCGGAGTGAATTGCGTCATGGTGCTTTTTACTCACAGACGGTGCCCAACTGATCCTACTATACTGTGCTGTCGAAAAAATCAAAAACAAACAACGCGAATTAAAAATATAAAATGACTTCAATTTACCCTGTCTATGCTCAAAACCCTTTTGTTTTATGTTAGTTTAATCAGAACAAAGTTTCTTATTAATTCTTGGTCCGAATAAATATTTCTATTTTTCTTTTGCAGAATCCTGAAGAACCGAAGCCATGGAATGAAATTCTTGTTACAGACAATTACCCTCCCGCATGCATGCAAAAAAGCAAAATCTATATCGAAGAACATCGCAATTATTTCGGCGAATTCGATGAAGACTGTTTATATTTAAATATCTATGTCCCACGGGTAAGTCTCGATTTTGGAAGGGGAATACTTACCCCCAAGTTAGATATTGATTTGTTTTCAAGAATAAAGCGCACCGCTAAAATAATGGTAAATAAAGATTTTGATAATCAGGGCTTAAGTAAAGAATATGTAGCGTATGATATAATGGGACCCTTCTTTAAAAAATGTGCATAAATATTAAATCATAAATTATTTATTAGCATAAAATTCGACACCGAAATCCCAATGAGCAATGGGATAGCGAAAGATGCCTTCCAGAAGCTAAGTAAACTATTAAGAAACAATAAAATGTTGTTAGCGTTGTCGTAAACCCTCTTACAGTATAATGAACTCTTCCTTCTCTCATAAATACAAACTGCGAGAGTCGGACGGGAGCGCAGAGTGTGAAGTGGAGTGGAATAGTAGACGCAGTGCTAATCTGCTTGTTACTAACACTATCGTTTTGTATATATCTTCAATATACTTTTCCAACCTACCTTCGTCTTCCGTGTCTTTCTGAGCCCTAAACAGGACACAACAGTTAGAAACAAAGAAAAGGAGTATTTAACTGTTATGTAATATTGGTCCTCCTATGTAGCAGTGAATGCTTAACAATTTCCTCACAGATGAAGAAGAAACTTGAAGCAATAGAAACCTGGTTCTACAGAAGGATGCTGGGAATACCATGGGCTGGACGTGTGAGCAATGACGAGGTTTTAGACAAAATGGAAACAAGAAAGACACTATTTACATTCAGACTATTGTCTTCATCTTTGTTGTTGTTATCATCGCAACGTTTCGGTGGTTGTACCATCATCAATGTCGATATTGATCTACGTCTGATAAAGGCCTGAGGGTACAACGGCCGAAACGTTGAGATAACAACAACAAAAATGAAGACAATAGTCCGAATGCAAATAGTGTAAATAATAATTATTATTTCAGACATAATAAAAGATTCTTCTTAACATCAGAAAGAGACGCTTGAAGGCGCATAATGAGGAAAGAAGAATTAGAGAATTCTTGAAGGCTTAGAGAATTTGACACTCCCAGGACATATTGAAGACAGAAGCGACAGAGAATAGCATCAAATAACTTACCTAATAAGCTTGTGTAAACGCTTGGCAGAGTTGGAGAAGAGACAAAATTTACTAACAGCTGCAAAGGTCAGTGATAACACTTATCAAAAAACTTCTAACGAGATATTTGAGTAGATTTAATGTTACCGGAAATTATAAATGATTAAAGCTGCATGTCTTTTGAGATGTAAACATCAAATTGTCAAATTCTAAGATAACAATTTCACCATGCAGCTTGAAAGTATTTAATTGAAGGCTCTCAACCCCACTATTTGGTCATCGGAAATAGTATATGTTGAAGGTTTTTTTTTTTTTTGTTTTTAAATAGAACGACGCCAACTCGAATTCCAACCGCGCTCAATCCGCGAAATTCGGAATAAATGCTACTATTATTTAGACAGGACAAAACTACATCTTAAACAAAGAAAAAAAAATTACTCTCTGAGGATGAAAATGTGAAATTTTCGAAAGTACTCGGCCCAGCATCATCAATTCCACCTGACAATTTAAACATAAGGATCGCGTTATTCAATGAATTGTTAGTAAGTTAATGCCTCATTAAGTCTTGTTACCGAAGAGATTTCCCTTTACATTAACATTACTAATTAATTCTTTGCATGATTACCTATTTATGATTGATATATATATATATATATATATATATATATATATATATATATATATATATATATATGGTTGCCAACTCGTGTCTGAGTACAGCCATCACTACATACCTTTTTTGGAGAATATCTACCGATGTGCTGAACGAATGTGGCTTTTTAGCTCAGCCAGGGACCTACATACTCTACCATAAACAGGGCATTTAAGAAGTCCAACAGCGGGTGCAATTTAAAATGTCGCATGAAACCGCTTCTGGACCCGCATATCTTACCACAAATATAACATTTCAATTGCTGGACGTCTACGGTTTTATAGTCAAATGCCACCTTCCGTCGGTGCACTCTCTAGTGACCCCGTTAGATTAGCCATCGATAAGCACACTCTACCACAATCTGTACACATGTCAGATCGAGTTGTCTGTGGGTGTTTTCAGGAAGCACATCTCTTTTAAGCTTTGCGTGCCTCCTTTTCTCATCTTCAAAGTGACACCTTCCACTACTAGCAGCATCATTTAAATTATTGTGATCAGTTGAACATTCTTCCCAGTGTTCACAAGGAATATTGCATTTCTTCAGCTCATCCTTGATGCAGTCTTTAAAGCACATCTTAAGTTTGACGGCATTTCTCTTATCTGTTCGCAGCTCTCCATAAAACAATTGCTTTGGAATACGGCTGTCATCCATTCTGACGAGGTGACCTGGCCACCGGAGTTGATGTTTTAGTATCACTATAACAGCCGCTTCTCTCTAGCACCTCTACATCACTAACAAACATTTGCCAGTTAATGCCGAGGATACGACGTAAGCAGTACTGATGTAATCTCTCAAGCCTTTTCATTTGTCTGCGGTAGACCACCCACACCTCATATGCGAAAAGGAGTGCTGCAAGCACACAGGCATGATAGACCTTTAGCTTTGTACTTACTGAAAGATATATATATATATATATATATATATAATTATTTTCTTTTTAAAAATATGATTCCATCTCGACACAAAAAATTTCCATGTTTCAAAACTGAAACTAAATTTATAAATTTAATTATAAAAATTAAACTTGAAATCGATAGTATCGTTCCATTGTCAAGCGGTACTAGGAATAAACTTTCTAAGAAATTTACTTAATTTATAAGCGCCGACAATATTGATATTATTATGAGTTGTTATGGTTAAGGAAAATATGTTTTAATTTAGGGGTGGTTGGGTTTTAATTTCCCTAGACAGCTTATGTATCCAATATATCTTACTTACAAAGTCAGTTTAAGTTTAGGTGGGGTGGGGGTGTCTGCTAATAAACGTATACTTCCATTATTCAGTGAGTCGTCTAGGTTTTCAGTGACAAAAAATGTTGTCATATTTATTCATCCGCTTAATTCATTTTTTTTATGCACAAAGATTTTTTAAAAGGGTCATTTAAATATGTGTAAGACATATTTTTAATATTTAAATTTTATTCTTACAGATTTAAAGTACCATTCAACCTTCTAATAACTAATAGACTATACGATATATTTACAAATAAATATATTAGAATTTAATTACTAATTAAAAGATCAAATATAAAAATGTACGTTTCATCTCTATTTTTTAATATTATTTTTTTAAATTAATTATTAAGGAAAATATTTGACAGTGTCTACAAAAAATGGCTATTTCATTTCTTTGATTTAGTAAGATTTTATTTTTTCTGAAACTTAATAATGTGTATTTTTTCATGTATGCACAAAGGACATGGGTCATTTAATTACCTACAAGCTCTAGCTTTTCTTATTAATTTCCATTTTACAGTTAGTGTTTTATTGATTTCTATTAAGTGCCAGGAATATTTAGATAGGGACGTTTGATTTCGGTATTTATTATTATTAAAGGGCGTTTGATATTGGTTCCATCTTCTTTTGAAATCATTCCGTGTCCATCCAATGTAGAATTTAACTACGTCTGGATTTTCAGTAGATGAGATATTGCACTGATAAATTATTGATTCAATACGACATCTATTCTTTAGAGCTTTATTATAGAAATATCTATGTTCATAGAATATTTTCTCATTTGCTGAATTTGTACTTATTTGTACTTATTCTTTTTTTCAATAGACGGAGGTATATGCTTAACTATAGAAGGAGTATGATTAGACTTAGTGTATATATATATATATATATATATATATATATATATATATATATTCAAGCATGTTTGGTTAAATAATTTAGAGAAGGTTTACGTTTCACTTGAAAGATCATAGTTCAATCTCAAAATATTTAAAGGCACACTGATGTCCACATTCACAGTTGAGATAGATATTAATCGAAAATACATCAGTGTTTCATCAAGGTAATAATAAACAAAAACATAAACACTGGAGCTCTTTATATATATATATATATATATATATATATATATATATATATATATATATATATATATATATATATATATATATATTTTGACTAGAAAGATTAAATATGGTCTGTCTGTTCAATTGTTTATTGTATTTTTCCCATTTTCGAATAAGGTGTTGAGTATAGCACTCGAAATCGAAATGGGAGATAAACTATTATTGATCTGTTGAAGTGATTTCGACCAACTCGGTCATTTTCAAGAACCAATATCATCCGCCTATCTGAGACGCGGCATATGTGATGTACTTTCTCTAGTCGGAACGGCTGTCGGTGGTCAGTACCAGCGATAAGGGAACTACATCGGTATCATTCTGAAAATCTGTATTATTTTTCCATTTCAATTAGAAAAACTGGCTGGTGATCAGACTATTCGGAGACATGTCAGCATGGATCCTGTTCAAAACAACAAAGTTGATCCATCAGCCCCAGGAAGTACGTCGAAGACGTCAGATGCAGAATGCTTCCTCGACTGCTTTTCAAGGTCTCTTCCTCTGGCCCTGCTTGCATACAAATGCAGCATTCCCGTGTTGGGAACAGCCACATTAAAAAAAAAAAAAAAATCCGCCCAGTAAGAAACCGGACGACAAAGATGTTCTACTCAGACGTCTTCTTCCCAAGAACCGCTGCTTTATATCTATCGGCCTGGTCCATATTTGTCTTACTATGTGTATATATATATATGTCTCTCCGAGTTTGTTCCTATTTATCTATTTCATTGTGTTCATCTATCTATCTATCTATCTATCTATCTATCTATCTATCTATCTATCTATCTCAATCACTTCATACCTATCTATCCATCTATTTCAGTGTGTTCATCTATCTATCTATCTATCTATCTATCTATCTATCTATCTATCTATCTATCTATCTCAATCACTTCATACCTATCTATCCATCTATTTCAGTTTGTTCATCTATCTGTTTCAGTCTGTTCATCTATCTATCTATCTATCTCAATCACTTCATATCTATCTATCCATCTATTTCAGTGTGTTCATCTATCTATCTATCTATCTATCTATCTATCTATCTATCTATGTTTACGCATACCCATGTCAATATCTTTGTGTGTATCTATCTCACTGAGTATGTTCGTATCTAACTCTGTTCATATCAATTTGTGTCTGTTCCTATCTATCTATCTATCTATCTATCTATCTATCTATCTATCTATCTATCTCAATCACTTCATATCTATCCATCTATTTCAGTTTGTTCATCTGTTTCAGTCTGTTTATCTATCTATCTATCTATCTATCTATCTATCTATCTATCTATCTATCTATCTCAATCACTTTATATCTATCTATCCATCTATTTCAGTTTGTTCATCTATCTATCTATCTATCTATGTTTACGGACGCATACCCATGTCAGTATCTTTGTATCTATCTCACTTAGTATGTTCGTATCTAACTCTGTTCATAGTTTGAGTCTGTTCCTTCCTATCTATCTATCTATCTATCTATCTATCTATCTATCTATCTCAATCACTTCATATCTATCTATCCATCTATTTCAGTTTGTTCATCTATCTGTTTCAGTCTGTTTATCTATCTATCTATCTATCTATCTATCTATCTATCTATCTATCTATGTCTATGCATACCCATGTCAATAATTGTGTTAATTTATCGATTGTTTTGTCAGTTAATTTTTTTCTATCTTATCTTCTCTTCTTTTTAATCCTTTTCTTAACCAGACGACAAAAAAGGAGCCCCTTCCTGTCTTTGCTTTTGTCCACGGAGGGTCAAATATCGTGGGCATGGCAGCCATGCATGACGGTGATGTTTTCGCCTCCCACGCAGAAATCATTGTTGTCATGATGAATTACCGCCTCGCAGCTTTCGGTATGTGAGTCAATTTCACTTTTATTTCTCAACTCGCTTGCGTATTATGCCATATGTACATATTTTTAAACTAATCTCCTCACCTTTGTTGTTTTTACCACATCATTTTGCCGACTTATTCCTCGGCCTTCCACGTGCATTTAACATACATTAGCAGGGATCCAAACTAACTTTTGTGAAAGCTCACAAAAAAACTTTAATCATCTCGGAATATTTTTAAGTCTTCCTGAAATTAAATACTTTTTTTTTAATCTTGAAATTTATGGTTGTTAGTAGCATAATACCATTAAATGTTTAAGAAATAAATATTAATTTTGATTTATTTAGTCTTAAAACTGTGTTCTCCGTTCACTGCAGTCACAACTTCACTATTTGGTCATTTCTCTGCCTAGATCGTGTCGCTGAGCAGGATTGATTGATTCGTTTTTTTACGGCTTGTCAACTTTTACAGGTTATTTAAAGCCAGAAAATATTTGCAGACTGTAAGATATTTTTTAAGACAATAATAGTTTAGTAATATGAGTCTTACTAATTAATCCATAGCTGGGGGAGAAAAGGTGGATACATAACTTTCCCAAGGTTATTCAAGTTTTTATATGGCGCATAAGTAAATATAACATATCCGATTGGAACTCAGCTCACTGATTAACAATTCTGAGGCACATTATCCTTTACATCATCCACACATCCAAACTTAAAGCACCTGGTATTCCTAAGTGATCACCCATCTAGGTACTGACCACACTCGACATTGCTTAACTTCGGTGATGGTACGGGAACCGATGTTTCAACATGATTTGGCCAGCTGAGCAGGAGGTCCATGACCGAATATTTACAGGAGGTGCTTATGTGTTTCAATTTAGTTTATAATCACGAAATATGAATGTTCTTTGTTAATGCTTCTTTCAAGTTTTCTTCTTTTTTTTTAACAAAAACTGACAGAAAAATATAACTTCCTTGCATTAATTATACAATGTGTCCATAAAGTTCGTGTGCACTTTAAAAACTTTATAATTTTATTTGTATTTGCGATAGAAATAATCTGTAAAAAATGTTATAATACAATGTTTCAACAAGATGGAGCTCCTTGTCACTTTGCTCTGCGTGTTAGAGAGTTTCTAAATCAGGAATTTCCTAACAGATGGATCGGAAGGGGGGGACCATTTTATAAGCCTCCACGTTCGCCAAATTTGACTCTATTAGATTTTTTATGGGGATATGTGAAAACAATTGTGTATGCAACCAAACCTTGTTCATTAGATTATTTGAAAGCTAAAATAACTAATGTGATTTCAGGCATTATTGTAAATCAGTTGGCAAATGTTTTCCGTGAACTGCAAAATCGTATTACCTTTTGTATTGCTAATGATGGAGGACATGTGGAAACTTAAATAAAATTTCAATAAAACCTTAAAAAATATAGATTTACTTCTTTCTAATCCTTTTTACAAATTATTTCTATCGCAAATACAAATAAAGTTATAATTTTTTTAAGTGCACACGCATTTTGTGGACACCCTGTATATTAATTTTTGGGGACCCATTGTTCTACTTAGTTCTACTAAGACATATTTATTGGTGCCAGACGAGCATTAATTGTATTTTATTATGTGGAAGCGCATATTATATATTTGTTTTTTCTTCCATGTATATTATCGCTAAAATAATAAAAATTAATGTTTGCCACGTATAAAAAATATGGCTTAAAATATGTACCACTAATTTCACTGTCTAAAAAAATAAAATAAAAATAAAACAAAATCAGTGATGTCGGATCAAATTCATGTCTGTAGAAAATAGAAAATTTATAGTACTGAATATTGCAGATAATACAAAGTTAATCCCTACATATTGAATTTACGCTAAACTCTGTAAAACACTATGTTCAATATCATAGAGTTAACAGTACTATCCTGGTGGGTCTTCTGTTCCTATATCCCATGGGACATAAAGAGCACTGACTTGACCTGCTATATATATATATATATATATATATATATACACCTAGTACCAACTGAGTTGAATTCGCAGAAAACTCTGTAAGGCACCACCTTCAATGTCATAGAGTTAGCAGTACTACCCTGGTGGGTCTTCTGTTCCTATATTTCATGGGACATAAAGAGCACTGACTTAACCCGCTGGATATACATCAGGTACCTCATGTGTAGAATTTACACCAAACTCTGTAAGGCACTATCTTCAATGTCACAGTGTTAACAGTACTACCCTGATGGGTCTTCTGTTCCCATATCACATGGGATCTAAAGGACACTGATCTCCTGCGTTGAATGTGGATACTATTTGAGCCAATGTAAATTCTGTTATTGAAAATAATTCTAGCTAGACGCCACTGGTCATGACCATTAACTTTTTTGTGTATATTTTTTCACTAGTCGATTATATATATTGACGCCAGTCGAACATTAATTGTATTTCAACCTAATGTATAAGCACGTATTGTATTTTAGTCTTTTCCGTGTATATTATCAATAAAATAATTAAAATTAATATTCTTCTGGTATCAAAAATAGGTCTTAATTTTTTTTTTCTATTGGAAGAATGGATACTAAAAGGTTAAAGCAAAATTAGTACACACAATTAGATGCTAATACCTTTAATATTTATAGATAAATAATAGAAATACCTAAGTCCTTTAAACTTAATTTTTCATCCGGGTATCATTCACCAGTTTATGACTAATTTGTTTTTTTTTACGGCCGATGAAACTTTTACAGATTATTTAAAGCCAGAAAATATTTTTAGATTATAACCTTTTTTTTAACATGATAATTATCTTTACTGATACAAGTTCTACTAATTAACTCTTTCGATCTGGCATGAAGGTGGATTCATACCCCTTTTTCCGAATGGGTATATACGCGTAACTGAATATAATGAACCCGACTGAAATCGAAAACCCGGCTCTCCGATTCCCAATTGCCAGCAGTTATACATTGCACCACCCACACATCCAAGCGTACAGCATCTGATATTTCCAAGTGGTTACCCACCTAGGTACGGACCGGTTTGATTGTTGCTTAACTTCAGTGATCGTACGAGAATCACTGATTCAACGTGGTATGTTCTTAAGACATTCGCCAGTTTAAAAAGATGCACAAAGTTTTTTTCGTGTGTGTGTGTGTGTGTGTGTGTGTGTGTGTGTGTGTGTGTGTGTGTGTGTGTGAGAGAGAGAGAGAGAGAGAGAGAATAAAGAAGAGGGAGGGAGAGAGAAAAAGCAAATTTGGGTGATGTTAAATATATAAAGCAAATATACGTGTGTGCGTGCTCCATTTATTAAAATCCCGCCACAATTGGTGAAAAGTTTTGTTTTGTTTTTTTACAATAACGTTCAACCTGTACAAGGGCCGAGTGGCTCCGGGATGAACATCGTAAAAATAAAAAAAATAAAAAATACAAGAAGAATTTATTAGTCGGATTAGTGACGAGCGTTACTGCTAAAATTAAATGGCATCGAACCAAAGTATCAAACCAAAATCGAGGCAACTATTTAGTCAGTTATGTGCCATGCGTGATACACGCTTAGGCGATCAAGTATCTTTCGATATACGACTGACGAGGCAGATTATTTTTCCCCGCATTACGTTGCCATTTACTTTCTTCGGTAGACCAGTTGCCATCCAAGGCTACAGAAACTGGTCTGTCCTGCTATTTAACTTTAGCTGGAGGGAAGAAGAAGAGGATTCATTTCCTTTCCCAATGGTATTAGCACGTAAGTGAATATAATGGATTTGACTGGAATTCGAACTCGGCTCGTTTCTCAGAGTAAACGGAACAACGGTGTAAAAGATGTTTTTTTTATTCTCCTTGCTATCGTGATTTACTGTAAAATTTAACTGCTTAAACATGTTAAACTGACCCACTTATAAGACAATTTTAAGTTTTTAGTTAAAGTCCAGCCTTGTAATCTAATATGTTTCGAATGAGAGCGTGAGGATTTCTTTTTTATATATGGAAGAAATGTAGGAAATTATATGTCTAGCCAGCCAACACTTCGTCTTTTCGTAAAGTGAACGTCATGGGTATGATGATAAACTCCATCCGGCAACAAGGCCTCTGATTGGAATTTTGAGAAGCGTAGAACCACTACTTAAATGCTGTTATTCCCAGATTTACCCTGACCCGGGGTGGTAACACCTGTTAGGGTCCAAGCTATGGGCAAATAGTGATCATCCAAACAAAAATCAACACTACATTTTTTATAATAAAATGACCAATAAGATATTTTTATAGCAAAATGACAACCAATGCAACGCTAAAAAATATAAAAATACATTTTTATAGTAAAATTAACAACAATACATTTTATGATCTACAAAATATAGATATTAAAAAACATGCCTTTACCCTGAAAGTATAAAATTATGTACAAAATATATAGATTTCGGCATTAAATAACCCATAGAGGTGTTGATATGCCGCTAAACAAAATTAACCAACCAACAATCCGTAGAGTGAAAATTTATTCTTTTTAAATTTTTTTTATTAACCGAATTCACCCCAAGCAAAGCAGTAAAGCTACTAAGATACAAGCGGTTATTGGGTGTGAATGAATTAGAAAACAGAAACTTTATTAAGGAAGAGAACAATAGAAAAGCAATTCAGAAGACAGTAATTAACAATTGACATTTCATTCAAATTTTTGAAGATCAAAGTTGACTAGAAAGCATGAAGTCAGAAGAGAGTTCCACAAACGAGAAGTGCGAGAGAAGAAACTATTAGCATAGAACTTACGGTTACATCTAGCCATTTCAACTGTAAATGATGAGACCTTATCGACAATCAAGTACTGCGCTTAAATTAATAAAGTCTAGGTACCATAGAGTAAAGTTCATCGGAACAATTACCATGAAAGTGTTTGCAGAAAAAGCACAAGGAAGCTATATTATGGCGGCGAGAAAGTGACTGGAGCCAAAATGCGAGGTCAGGACTAATAACATTGCAGATTCTTCTTTGTATTTTATCAAGAAACTCTAAATATATAGTAAGAGCATCAGATTAGATGTGACAGCAGTATTCAAAACAAGGACGTATGATAGACTTAAAAATATGCAAGATAGATTTCGGAGAGAAAAATTGTATAGCATGACACAGTGAACATATTTTCCTAGCAGCGGACCCAACAATAAATTCATTGTAATCTTTCTATTTCATGTCAGTGGAAATTTTAGCCCAAGAAAGCGCAATGACTCAATCTACTGGTGGTTAGCATCAGCCATACTGATGGAAGTCAGAAAGGGTTCTCTCAGATGATTAATAGAGAGGAGTTTCGTTCTGAAGGCGTTAAAATTAACAAGACATTCCTTGTCCCAGTTATATGCATATCACTCAACAGGGACTCAGTTCTAAGTGCAAAGTCAGGCGAAGATGCTCCAGATGAGAGAATTTACGAGCAAAACATCTTGTTTTATCAGCAGATGTTAACACTTAAAACTAAACGGAGATGCGATTGAGGACTTACTCTTATTTAACACACGATTACAGAGTCGCCAATAGTCACGAGCGCCAAAATTGTTAGAAGCTATACGGTGCCTCATTCGAGGAGATGTTTATAATTATTACACACAAACATAAATAGGCGCATGTTGTGATTGGAACTGTCACGCTGGTATAGCCGGAAAAGTGATTCCTGTGGACTATAGCGGTTAAACATGCCAGTGTGAACAATGGAGAAGATTGTGGTTTTACTTAGTATTTCTGAGAAGGTACAAAACCGTCGATGCTGGCTTTAACCCAAGAAGAAACATCTGTGGCACATTTTTCAACGCATCTCAATCATTAACTTATGATTGTGAAAATCATTAAATTTTGAGTATTACTGCAAATGTAGGTATATGTGTAATTTTTAATATATACTTTATCGCTCTGAATAACTAAACTGAGCACTGTTTTGTCTATACCAAAAATCAAATAAATATTTATTTACTCATCTATATGTGCACGTAATTGCTCGCATATATAGTTGCTCATATCTCTTTATTTAGCTCATTATCACATCTCTCTCTCTCTCTCTCTCTCTCTCTATATATATATATATATATATATATATATATATATATATATATATATATATTCTCCTTATTTATTATCTATTTGAGCTTCTTCAGGTTAATTTTGTTCAATATCATGCCTAAATGATAGCTTAGTTCTGGTTAAAATCTGGTCTGTTCTCATTGTCAAATGTGCAAAAATGTCCCTGCTTACCTTGAATTGAGGGGAGGAATGCAGTTAACGTTCTCTTCTACAATTAGATATCTCGATAGTAGTCCCATCACTGGTATGCCACGATAGAGGATGAAAAAAATAATGGTTAGCTGAGTGAACATATAGTGAGTTATCAGTTATAGTGAAGTGTACGTGTTGAAACAGATTAGCTTGATCTGGCCTTGTTAGTTAGATAGTCCACCATAAGAGGGGTATAAAACAAGAAAATCAAATTGTAAAGTAAATCAAATTCATATACATATAAATCAATTAAGGTCTCTATAAATAAAATTAATGTATTTTGGTTGATACAAGGTCGTCAAAATGTTCGGAATAGTCCTCGCAAGAATGAGTTTATGTGTACGTAGGCAGGAACGTATACGTGTATGTATGTATGTATGTATGAGCGTTATCGTAGGGTAGGAATGTCTTTGAAGTAATCGCTCAGTCTTAAAATGTTCCGTTCGTTTATCAAGTATAAAAGAGGTGAGGGAGAAAGGTAGAGATATTAATAACGATCGCTTGACGTTTTTCAAGGGACGTGTTAATACGCTCGTCTCCTTCTCTCTGGTGACAGGTGAACTTGCCCGTCTTTTATTTTGTTTGTGGGATTGAAAAAATCATTTGGGAATTCACTCCCGAATATGATTCGGGCCTTTCCATTGAATGACAAACTTCGCGTCGGCTCGCGAAAAGGTCCGTAAAAGAATTTTGTTTCTGAGAATTGAAGATTATTTGAACTTTGTTTTTAAATGTTCTTAATTCTATGAATGTTGTTATTTGTTATAGGATTCCTTACCTTGGCCGATCCGGAACTTCCGGGTAATTATGGACTTATGGATCAGTTGTTAGCCCTGAAATGGATCCAGAGAAACATCGAATTTTTTGGCGGTGACAAAAACAAAGTCACTCTGAGTGGACACAGCGCGGGAGCCGGTGATGTAGGTCTACATACTTTGTCCAGCTTAGCTAAAGGTTAGTAAGGTTTTCTTTTTCGTAATTTCATTGATGTGAATAAACGGCGATGACTTCTCGTTGTATAAATGTTGTGGGACACATTTGATTACCTCAAAGATATTTACAGAATTCGTCGTGAACATTTTCAAAGAAGTACGAAAAAAAAGAAAACCTGAAATATGAGAAAAAAAAAAAAAGACAACGAAAACAAATTGTAACTATAGAGAAAATATTTTAGTACCCGCTGACGTCACAATGTTTCGGTCTGCGTAAAGTGGATCTTTACGTGTGGGGTGTGGCAAAAGTGAGGAGAAAGCGAGTCGCCGAAATTAAACCCTATCCTAATCGTGTCTACATCGTGCTTGTCGTTATGTAAATCCGAAAAAGGAAAGCACCTGTTCTTAGGTTCGACGCTCTATTTTATACTGACGCGTCACGTGACCGCATATCTAAGTGAAAATAACTCCCTACGATTACTATTTAATCTGTATTTCTCCCATGCGTCCCCAATTATTACGATTGTTGTGAAGACACTAAAATGTCATAATAACAAAGCCTAAAAAAAGGCATCGCAAAAGTAAAATAAAAGTAAACGCTGTATCAATTACACCGGTCGCCATTTTTTTCGACTCAAATGTTGTTAGGCAATGGGCACATGTTTCTGGGCTATTTTTTTTTTCATGCTGAATCTGAAAATCTAGTTCATTTTTCCAGGCCTCTGTATATAATTGATTAACCGATCGATACAATTACGAAAAGAGAAACATATCAATTTTTTTAAAAAAATGTGTTCTTTGATTATATGTCAAAATAAATCGACTTACGATAGTTAATAAGATTTTTTCAGCCCAAATGTTGTTGGGCAGTGGACATATGTTTCTGGGTTATTTTTTCACACTGAATTTGAAAATCACGTCCATTTTCCCCATCACATCAAATTTTCTCAGTACAGATAATTTCTATTTGGCTTAAAATAGGCCAAAATGCTTAATTCACAGGGATATGCCACGGCACAAATATGCGAGTGACATAGTTGAAACATTTTCTTTCATGTTAAAATGATTTATCATTCAAGAAAAAGTATCCAAATAACTTTCAAAATGAATTCTAAACTATTTCAGTTCAGATAAGCTGACTTGAAAATGCTCCATTTTATGAGAAATATCTCAATCGAAAATGTCCTTTGCCCTCAATGTTCTTAGCTTGTTAAAACTTTGTGATTTGTGTTTCTTCTCTACTTTTCATAGAAGAAGCTCTTTCGAAGTCATTCAAGAACAGCGATTTTAGATTAGTAGTTTTCATTTTACGCCTGAAACCGTCATGAGATTTTTTATCATATCACTTGAGTTTACGGAGCTCTGGTATTGTTATGCAGACTCTGTATAACATGCATCGATAAATTAGGGTTGTTAGGGTATTTTCTTTATCAGTCCTTAAAATAGTCACCAAAAAACAGATAGGCATAGCCAACTTGGCACTTTGCAGATGAGATGTTAACATGATGGCTGATTTCTGCTGGAGCATTAAAAGAGAACATTTTCAAAAGCACCTTTAGTGTTTCCAAGAAGAGAAGAGTTATATCTTTGAATGGACAAAAATGAATGGATTTTTCATTCCTTTGTATCTTCTTTGTCTGTTTTGATTAAAAATATTGATGACACATGTATCCCAATAACCGAAAGTTATTAGGATACATTTTCTTTTATGATAGGTTATTCTAATCTGAAAACATTTAAGGTTAGTTCTACTTGGCCCTGCCATATCACTGTTAAATCGGTATTTTGGCCTATTTTAAGAAAAATAGAAATTATCTGTACTGAGAAAATTTGATGTGATGCGGAAAATGGACGTGATTTTCAGATTCAGTGTGAAAAAAATAACCCACAAACATATGCCCACTGCCCAACAACATTTGGGTTGAAAAAATCTTATTAACTATCGTATGTCGATTTATTTTGACATATAATCAAAGAACACTTCTTTTATTTTAAATTTGATATGTTTCTCTTTTCGTAATTGTATCGATCGGTTAATCAATTATATAGTGGCCTTAATAGAACCTACCATAGGTACAGATATTTAACCAAACATTAAAAACAATATATATATATATATATATATATATATATATATATATATATATATATAATATTGGAGGAATCGAGACTTTTCTCATACAGTCTCAGTTACGGGGACTGGTCATGTCTTGAGAATGTCTGGTGACAGGATACCCAAGATCCTAATGTATAGGCAGTAAGATGAGGGCTACAGGAATGTAGGCCCCCCATGGCTAAGATACAAAGACAAGCTGAGAAACAGCTTGCCAGCTGTCAATATACCACATAACACCCTTGAGCGCTTAGTCTTGGAGTGGGTAGAATGCAGATCAACGTGTTTTAGTGGACTCAGCAGTTTTCAATCTGCTTGTCTGAATCCTCTTCAAAAAGCGAGAGCAAGATCTAAAAGGTCAGCCAATCTAACAGTGATCTCATCTCACAATCCTCACTCTTACTCCATATGTGGCCTCCTTTGTAAATCACTAGCGGGTCTTACGTGCCACTTAAGTTTATCGCACAAAATTACATAACTGAATCAATTAAGCTGTCAGATCCTCATACATCGAAACCGACGGGAGAGTCCATTATTATTATTATTATTACACACACACACACACACACACACACACACACACACATATATATATATATATATATATATATATATATATATATATATAGGCTGAAGTCGGAAGAATGTCAATGAAGATTTCATTTTATAGAAAAAGAACATGTTAATCAGTACCCAAGATCATTAGTGCTTACGTGAATGCAACAGAAGACCGCGGTATTTGAAATCGGCTCGCCGATTCCATTTTCTGCGCCGATATCCGTTACTCAGCCAGGGTCCAGTTTTGGTAAACAGTAAAGGTGTTATTCTCCAGCCTGGCAATGTAAGAATATATTGTAGAAAAGAAACCCAAGAAAAATCAAGATCATTGAAATGGGAGATCCTCCTACATTTACCAAATTTAAACCAATAGATTTAGATTCGTTATTAGAATATTTCATAAATTGCAGAATATTCATAAAAAATAATAAAACGGTCTTTCAGGATTTATTTAGGGAGAAAGCCAAATTTCTGTAGTTACTGAAAATGAAGCTGATTACATTTTTGATAAATAATATATAAATAAATTTAATTTCCATTATAAGCCAAAACTTTGGGGCTATCCTTTTGTATTTCGAAGAATCGGCGAAAAATTGAAAGTTGCATACCTTTTTTCAAAACTAATATAGTAGCTCACTTCGAGTGAGTAGAAACTTTTGATTCCTGAAGGGTTTTATCATATATTCAATAATAATAAGATTCAACGAAATTAATTCATTCTTTGAAATTTTAGCTCAATTTTTAACCTTATCTACTATGTTGTCAAATGGTAATTTTACGTCTGACAGATTTAAAATTTTAGGTAACCTTTCACTAAAAATGAAATTGGACACCATGCACTAATGGATTAAATAGTTTCAGTAACCTAGGTTATTAGAAGTTAATTCCACCAAAGAAGGCATGAAACTTACTAATTATTAAATCCAGAGGGTGAGGTCTAAACTTTTACCCTGTAGTGTACGTTTGTTTTTAGAACCTTTCTAGTAAAACGCAATTATTTTCCAAACACCGTCATCGTATATTTATTTTATTAATATTAAATAATTAATTCCATTTCTTTATTAATTTCCTTTATGCTTCAGGTTTGTTTCGCTTTAGCATCTGTCACAGCGGAAGCGGCACGGCACCATGGGTGATTTTGAAGACCAATAATGAATTGCTGAAAAGTGTGAAAGATTATGTAGCGAAAATGGACTGCCTTAAGGAAACTTCTCTTGAAATCAAGCATTGTCTCAGGCAAAAACCAGCAAAATTGATCGCGACGACTTGGATAACGGTAAAATCTGACTTTGCTAACAGAATAAAACTTTACATATTTTGCTTATTTTTTATTCCACTGTAAATCTTATAAAGCTGTACGAAATGGAATCTATCTAAACTTCTCTTCTTTTTTTAATATGCAATGTCCTTTCAGCGATTAAGGCTCTCCGAAACATCTTGTTTTTTTTTGGGGGGGGGTGCTCTATGCAACTTTTAAACCCTTACCATCCATCTTTTACATTGTTCTGTTATCCATTCATTCAAACACATTCAGTAAGTAACTCACGGTTTTTTCCCGGCTTACCTTCATTATGTCTTTTTTATACTGACATTCACCCAATACAAAGCTTGAGACCCACTCAAGGTAGAGAGTTGCTGCTGAAATAGTAATGATAAATGAATGTGATGTAAATGAAGGAAGAGATGAGAGAATGGAAATTATAAGTGAGTGTTAAATTCTCCAACCCTTATTTCCTCATTTTGTTCTCTTTTCAACGTTCACATTTTCTATCTCTACACACTTATCGTTGAGCCACTCATCTTTTGTTTGCTTGCATTTATTTCTAATATCAGTGCTTAATATCGTATGTGTCTGTGCCGTTTGTTGTCAACACCCGCTGTCTCACCACATATCTGAGATTCGGAATTATCATTATTGTACACTGATTTAATCCAACTAGTGTCATCATCTTGATCTAGTCACTTGATCTCTTTATTCAATCCACTATACGTTAATATTATTCTACTGCCTTTGCTAGGGGGTATCTTTATCGGTTAACTGTTTTGAGTATGTGACACTAAAGATGTATTCGAGACAGCCACAAAAAAGAGTATAATAAATGACTTCATTTCAGTCTTAAGTGTTTCATTTGCATGGCCATCAGTGGAGTCTGTAAATGGGGTCTTGACCAAGAGTGAATAAATAAATGCAAAGCTTTGGGTCAAGTGCTACTTGTCCAAAAGTTGCAACTTTCTGTTGGTGAGACTAAACGACCGTCGAGATAGTTCTTTTTTCGCCCGTTAGAGTTGCCCGCCGCGCGTCGAGATGTAGAAATAAACAGAGGGTTGGTAGCAAAGATAGTTCTCACTGCTTGACCTGAAGAGCTGTTCTGTCATAACAGAAGTTGTCCCAAGTGTCGTCTGTCTATCCCACAAGACCGTGCAAGTTAATCTATGAATAAATAAACAAATTACTGAAAACAGGAAGTGCTCTCATATCTTTGACGATGATATTAATTTCACCTTTCATTGCCCTTGTGAAGCCGTCGATGTTTGTGTCAACATGAAGTCACAAGTCATCGTAAACGAGGGCATAGTTAGCTCTGTGAGCACTGAAGAAATATCTGAGTAGGCAACTACAAAGGGGATTAGCCAGCCATTACATATTATCATTATATAATTTGTGCAACAACCTAAATTTTAATGCTTTAACATTCAGGTTTAACTAGTTCCGCTAGAGATTCTATCCTTCACTTTTTCTTTAACTTTTAAAGATTTTTCCTTGGAATATTTGGTC